TAATTGCTAATTTGTTGTATTTTTAATAAGTTAAAGCACTCGCTCTGGATACTAGAAATTGTAAAATTTATTCATTTTTCCAAGCAACGCTACGCGCGATAGACGTAATCCGCCTGAATTTTTTTTTCGTTGTCCCAACGATCGGCTCGTCGAACGCGTCTTACGTTCCCGCGGTTACAAGAGTAAAGTGTACCCTCGCGGAGGGGCAATCAAACAGAAAATTCATAATCACGATCTTAACAAGGAAAGTTGCATAAAAAGCGACTGAAAAGTTGCCAAGTTCCCGCCGTCTCGTTTGTAATCCCAACTCTCCTCAACCCTTCCTCAACGCGCCGCTCTCGAAGCCCACTCATAATTACCAAAGTTAATTTGCGAATCGCAATTTAATTGGCCGGTTCTTGAAGGTTCCTTAAACTTCGTCTTTCGGAGTGCGCGATTCCCCGCGAAGGCTGTGCCCCCCTTCGACTCGTGGAACGGGGGTCTGAGGCGTAGAATCGAAAATTTCGATCGTATCGATGGCAACGAATACTCGTGTAACACGATACCGAATCGAAATGGGAGCAGGATGCCGTGGAAATCATCGAAAGCGAATTCGCCCCGTGGAAATACCATTCGCCGTTACAAAGAATTCGCCCGTACGACGTCGAGTAGATGCTTCTTTCAAGGAGGACGCTGATATAACGAGACCCATGGATTACTTTTTCCCTTTGAAGGAACGAAACGCGTTACCGGTGTACGCGTAACGCGGCGCTTACGCAAATATCGATGTCTCTACGCCCCGTAGTTCTTTTATCTCCGCTCTACGAGGAGGGGCAACAACGTTTGAAAGACGACACCCCAACTCATTACCAAAGAAGCACGAACGGATGTTCATAGATACGTATGCGAGACAGGGTTAAAGACAGGACAAAAGGAGAGAGACGACGACGGTTTCCTGAGATTTTACCGCAAACAGCTCCCGGTGAAACGAAAGAAAGAACATTCCGCGTGACGGTGACTCCTTTAATTAGGCGGTCTGTGATCAGCCGAGCATTTTTCCTTTTCCCCCTTTTTCCGTGCCTCCTCCCGCCCTTCGTTCCTCGCAGACTACCCTCTTACGCACGAATACGTCGCGACTCGGTCACGCCTCGTGCGGTCACCGCCCGGGAAAGATTCGATTTCTGTCTGCGTTTCGTTTCAATTTTCATATTTTCCGCGGGTTACTACGTCGCATTCTTTGGCGCGGCGAAACTCGCAGCGTCTGCACTCCCCGCGAGATCGCTCGCGTTGTCACCAGTGACGGACCCGAAACACCTCGAAAGGGAGGGCTGACAAAAAATCGGACGATAGATTCGTTCGGCCCTCGTAGCCCCTCCCTTGTATCCGTCACTGGTTGGGTTAAGAGTACTTTGGTTGCATAATAACCAGAACGTTATAGTAAATAATATCAAAGCTGATAGAACGGGAAAATTAGTAGCGGTTCAGAGAGCCAACGAGAGCTATATAAAAGTGAAAAAAAACAACTAGATTCGCGGACACGATCCGTCCAATTACATTACAACTCGCAAAGAGAGTCAGATGGTTAAATAAGCATTTGCATAGGACGCGAACGACCCAACAAACGGGTCGGTTCCATCTTTTATTTAGTCATCGTGTTTTGATACTTGACCCGGTTTCTCGCACAAACGTTTCCGGTGTACTTCTCCTACGATATAATCGAATCGTTCTCGGGTCTTTGCTGACGCTGTCGATGCCCAATCGAATATCTCGAAACACCGCGATACAGGCTCTGCTCTTCAAAAAGCTAACATTCGAAAACCTGGGTAAAATTCTTTTGAACGTTCGAACACACAACTGCTTTGACTTTTTAGTTCATCGTTTAAAAAATGATTGAAATCGACCCCCACGACCGAAAATAAGTTTTCCAGAACGATTTGAAATTTTTGAATTTAATTATTAATAACTTTTTAAGGAAGCCTCTATCGACAAATTGGTATTCTTGATTTTCGTCTTATTTTGCCCTCCGGGATCCCCCATTAAAATTTTAGAGTGGCCAAACACCCTGTATAACAACCAAGGGGTCGGTCGAGCGCTTGTGAGAACGCGACCCCCTCTGGTGGCGAACACGGGAGTCGACGCCACCATTTGTATGATCGTGGACCCCACGAAACGAACACCTGGTATCTCTTCGAGTTGTTTAACCATTATCTCTCGCTTGTATCTACGAGAAAAAACCAAGGGAGATAGTACCTACTATGTTTGTACATACCCATACAGTAGTTATCACGAAAAATGGAAAACATACATACATACATACGCTACATACACCCTCGGAAGTTTTTATCAGGTTGTTCCACGAGCAATGTCTTTTTCGTGTGCGATTGCAGACCAGTGGGGGGTTCGAACCCTGGGCAGGGTGTCTCGCAGCAACGAGAGAAAATGTTTGATAAAAAAATACATTGCAACGTAGTCTGCAATAACATACGAAATCAACTGTATCCGAACGACAGAAACTTATGCGTACCCCTAATACATCGATCATCAAAATTAACTGTTCGAATATATATTTCTCGTATCATTGTATACCAACCACTTATTTCAGACGCAAAAATGTTTCTTTTTGTTTCGAGAAACCGCCTCGCCAAAAAAGTTTGGAAACCACTGCCGCAAACTATAGCGCATTCAGAAACAGAGCATTCGCGATTCTGTATTTTTTTTAAATGTTCCAACAATTTATTTAGCAGTCAGAATGAATGAGAATACGAACAATAGCTTATGGTATCGGTACGCATACGTACTCGTACGAAACGTGAAAACTTTTATACGAATAATAGATGACGAATGGAAACACCATAAAGCGATTTATTCGATACGTTCGTTCGATCAAACAGCTATTCGGCTTAAAATGAATTAACGGTGTTCGCGCGGCTACATTTTCCTTTCTTCGTCCTTTGAAAAGAACCGAATGCATTTTGCGAAGTTTATTTAGATTTTTATTTGATATATATTTCTTTGCATACAGCACCGGACAATCCTTGTCAATACCATCCAAATTAACACTCGTCGCGTGCTTCTATACGGCGAGATTAATTACGTCTATCGCGTCGAGGCGCGAGAAAATTAGCGAAGAAAGAACTAAATTAAGGTTAGGTTGCGAAACAGCAATTCGCCTGTAAACCTTCGTCCTTTCACCTTGGCTTTACTCTACTCGTGCACTTGAATTTCTACTTCTCTTTTTCTCCCTCGTTACGGTGAATAAAGTCGTTAGATAAATAAATAAAACGTAATAAATAAAGGGAGGAGGAAAGAGGGACGGTCCGATAGGTCCGTATAGGTTAACCGCGACGATCCAGTGGACAACGCAGTCTGCGACTGCATCGTATTCGTAATTCAAACGTGTCCTGTTTCGACGGTACGGGGAAGGGGGCAGGTGGGGGGCGTGCGCGAACGGGTCTCGCGAGGTAGAAGCGAATCGGTCTCCATCGACGGGAATTCAAAACGTGCAAAAGAGCGAACGCGTTGGCGGTGCCGCGGCACGAAGGGTTAACGCTGGCACATTTGCACGCGCGCGCCCACCTTCCGCGTCCTCAATGGGCGTCGGGGACAGGAGAATAAATTAACGAGGTGTTTGTTCGCTATCGCCACCCCTTTTTCCCGGTGCCGGATTAAAATCATCCTGTCTTTAATAATTACGCCGACCGAATGCGCTAAATGAGGCGCGCGTCGCGACGCCTGTCGCTTTTTGATAACGTTATTTACAGCTCTGGTTTACAATGGGCCACCGAACCGCGCAAATACGCGCAAATTACTCCCTGACATTGTGCCCGTTTCAGTGCTGATGAAAACATAATGCGCGTGTTTTCCACGGAACTTTGTGTCCCCGGTGAAAGCGAAGAGCCGCTCATTGTGGATTCGGCTTATGAAAGATGCGTATAGGCGTCTACGTACAAATAAAGAGAGCAGAATGAAGCGACTCCCTGGACTTTGCTCCTTCATGTCTGGCTCGACTTATTTGTTCAACCGCTGCCGGAAACGTATTAACGCGAAATCTTGTTTTCACTCGCGTCGCGGGGTTTGTCCGGCGCGCACGCCGCTTTGTTCCCCGCCTTTACCTCGAGGCGATCATATTTTCTTTTAATACTTGAATACGCGACTTTTTACACGGCCCGTACAACCAAAACGTTTTTATATATCCGTACTTAAATAAACTAATTTTATATACATTAACCAAGACTTATTTTACACGTTCGTTCTTCGTACGCGAATTATATTTCTGTACACTAACGAAAGCATTTAACCCTTCACTGGCCAACCAATTGGTAGCGACACTAGCGGCCCAACCTGGGACATGTATGACCCATGCTACTATGAGGGGGCAGCACAAATCAATCTACACGATTTTTTAACCCCTTCCGAATCCCTTCGTAATATTTATGGTCATTTGTTTACGACTAAATGCGAGACCTTCATGTTATGTATCGATATCTATCAATCAATATCGAAACACGAATATACATATCTATTATCTACACACCGTGATATATTAACTAGTTCGTACCGAACAACGATTACGTTTATATCAATAGCATCAAGTTTATCAAAAGTACAAACAAAATGCAATTAAATAATACCTCTTCGTTGTTCCATTTGTACATCGACTCAACGTTTCAATTCATGATTTGGATCCTGTTCCAGAGTTTAAGGTTAAGGTGTATTATCACAAAACAACGTTACACAGATTGGCATTGAACACTGTCATACTGTAATATTCGATAATGTCTGGGATGCAAAAAAAACAAAGGGAACATAACTTCGACTCAACTGTTTTTGAAGTACACGAACGTTCGCAGCGCTGCAGACGTTTAATACGCGTACTATTTTAGTTCGATACGCTTCCTGCGAATGTATCGTACCAGATCGATACATCGAAAATTACAGAGATTAGATAGAAACCGCTTTTTTTAATACTACTGACTTTTAATTGTTCAAAGTTACATTCCAACGACAGTCACAACTCCTTACCAATCGTTTACACATTGCATAATCTTAAACATCGTTCGTAAACAAAAGAAAACAAAATTTTTTATCGCACGAATGCGCGATAGAGAAAAGTTCCAGCTTTCCTAAATATAATTTACAAATTCATAGCGTTCTCGAACAGGTCTAGCATCCTCTTCATTTCTTTACTAAAAGATGAAAAGCAAACTATTACTGCGGGTGGTCAAAGTGCCAAGACCTATAAGAAAATTGCAATGCTCACATTTGTTCGGCCAGCTTATAGATAGGTCCCATAGATTTAGATAATTCTTCGCATTTAGCCATTAATTGATACATAGATTTGATATTATGATCCACCGCGTCACACGTTTTACATACCGCGTCTCTATATGTTTCCAAACATCCAACGGTCAGCGCGGACGCCTAAAAATATTTTACCGTAAAATCTTTCAAATGTAAACTATTTGACTAAACGATTGAACTGACGTAAGAACTAGAAATGAATTTACACTGTGCAAAATAGCAGCTAAATTTTCAGTCAATGCATCGACCGAGGTGGCCACCTTTCTAGCTTCCATTTCCAACTCGTTTAATACGTTATGATCAAGCGGAGGCAGTTGAGGAGTTAAAGCCTGTCTGTACAAACAAGGAGTGGAACTACGAGAACCGGGGAAAGATGGAGTTTCCCCTTTTTTTGTGACAGGACTGGAGAGTTTAATTTTGTTCTCTAAATCCTCTGCTACGAATAGCACCATGTCGCCATCTTGCATCACAGTTCCTTCTAGCTGCAAATACCCCATTGCTTTGTGATAACTCGGTGGATCTAAATCTTCATCCTCTACCAGACTGTTTCTTCTGTTCTTTAAATTCAGTTGATCGGGCCTGCCACCGACCGCACTCATCTTTTCCAGGCTATCTTCCAGAAACTTCGTCCCGTCGAGATCCGGGGACTCGATAAGTGATCTCAACTCCGAAATCGGCGGTGACGACAGCGAATCGAACGATATTTCGGAGTAAGACGCTGTCATCTCGTGCAGCTGAAATTGAGGAAATAGTTAATGCTCGCGGAATGGCCGGCTGCGATTAAATGCAAAATAAACATTTCAAATGTAAACAAAGCTGCCTAAAAACAACCTATTAACTCTAACCTTACTCTATCTTCGTCGTAGTCGATGGCAGCATTTTTTTCGCTGCGTGTTGTTCCCGGCTTCGGATATGTTTCGCTCTCTTCCGATTCCATATTTGATATGCGATTTATAATCCCTTTTCTTTTCCTTTTCTGAATATTTAATCACAGGCTCATCACTTCACTTTTACGAATTAGTTTGCAGGTTGACAACCTGCTGTCACAGCTATCGATTCACTGTCCAAAGCTGTCATATTAGGCGTTATCCATTGACAATCGGATACATCGATTTTCCGCATAAAATCTTTTTTCTTCCATCTGGACAGTGTGGCGACCTCTGTGATGAAATACAGAACAACGCCAGGGCACCTGAAATTAAACTCGGTTATTGTTTGAAACAACTTGTTGTCGATCAATGATTAATTTATGATGAGTACAACAGAGTACAAATATTAGACCTTAAAAAAATGATCGATGTTAATTTTACAGGAACTTCTTTTTGCGAGTAATGAGAATGTACTTGTTTATAGAGTAAGCATTGTACATTAATAGATTTTAATCTTCTCAAAACAAACAGTAAAATTGGAAAAGGGATATTTAAGTACGAGTTATGGTGTCATACCCTATGACCCAGCCCTATACCCTATAGCTGAATTGAACTGCGTAAACGACGCTTGAAAACCTTTAAAGCACGTGAACCGAACACACCCTATATGTATTGCCATCCAACAGAAAATCTGTTATAAATTCTCTAGATTTCATTTCGGTTTACCCTGCTTTATCTTGTGTTTACATTCCTTTCGTCAATGTTTGCCGATAAGCGCGATGAATTAATACAATAATCGTTTAATTGTTTCTAAATTCTTCAGTTTGATTGCTAACGTTCTTTCCGATGTCAAACACGAAATGGTAAACATTTGTTTAACGGGTGAAACGATATTAAAATCGCACCGAATTGGTTAAAGATATTCGTGCTTTATTTGAAATATGATGTATTCAAAAACTCCGCTGTTACTTTTCATATTTATCGCTATTATAAAATTTGTGTCTCCGTACAATGATTTTTTTGACGAAGAATTGATGTTAAAGCCATTGCCAAGCAGTCATGTTTACGCATACTTTCAATTTACTACGGTATGGGAGACATCGAAGGAAGCGAAGATGTGTAAGTTAAAAGACGTAAGAACGTATTTTATTCATAAAAAAAAAATATTTTCTTTTTACCGTATGGTGTAGCATTTTATGAATACATCTTGATATTTCAGTACAACATTCCCATTTATTCCCAAGAGGACTCGGTGAAATTATAAGTCGTCATGGTGTAAACGAATTACATCTTACTTTAACCAAAGGACTGTGGACTTATGAAAAATGGGGATACCCTTATCACGATGCTGGTCCTGGTGCAGAAATAACCACATGGTTTAACAAAGATGTTACAAAGTAAGATGTTATTTAAACGAATGCATCGTATCCGCCAAAGATATTATTTATTGCGAACTAGTCCAGGAATAAAAGGATCTTCTGTTTTTACAGCGTCGACGATGAATGGAAAAGTCTGACTAATGCGTTAGCCGGATTATTTTGTGCTTCTTTGAATTTTGTTAATCCTTCGAACAGTATGTCTCCAGAATTTACATTCCATCCCACGGGTGTTGCACAAAATAACACCAATTCTAGTCATTTACGTTATTCATCGTTACCAAGAGAAATAGTTTGTACAGAAAATTTAACACCGTTCAAAAAATTACTTCCATGTAACTCTAAGGTACTGTATAAGGTATACCGTTATTTCTGCTCCGTGTACAAACTATTAACATTACAATATTTTTAACAGAAGGGTTTAGCAACATTATTAAATTCCGCATATATTCATAACACTAATTATCATTCTATTGGAATACATTTTCGAGTAATATGTTCAAACGCAATATGTACAAACACATCGTTGGAATTAAAACAGACTGTTTCATTGATATATGACACCATGGTAGATTCATTACAGGTAAATTGTTGGCAATGTTTTACAATGCCCGAAGCATTCTTAACGTTTATACAATATATTACCTAGGATTGGTCAGTTCGAAAATTCTTTGGAATGGGAATTAAGGGAGCATGCCCCCTTGCTACCCTAAGCAATATATACGTTGACGTATCTAATAACAATACGAATGAAGTTTATTCGTTACTGCCACCTCCGAGTGCTAAAATTACGAGTCTTCGCGGAGGGCAACTGAACGAAATAGCCATTTATGACATCAGGTCTCATTCTGCAAAAGGAATGTTTAATATTGGAGTTGTACATAGTACTGGCTTTAAAGCTAGCATAAATTATCCTTCAATTTTGTTTGCAAACAGATACATTATCGGTGTGTATATAATCGTGAATTATAAGAAACATATCGATAAAAGCGTTATTACGATTAAGAATTCGCCCGTTAACAGTTAACTCTAAATAGAAATACTAATAAAATATTCTTATTTAGGATATGGGCAAGAAAGAGGTAGCTTAGTAACGAAACTTTATAATAATTACTGGAAGCCGTTTGACATTGTTTTATTAGAAAATATTCCATGGTATTTACCAGTATATCTACATTCCGTCGCAATAACTTGCGGGGACAAGCAGATTGTACCATGTAAGTGAGTAATTGTTTCCTGATATAAAGATTATTATGGACAATCTGTTATTTCTTCCGCTTTGTGCAAGTAAATGTTAGTTACTTTTATGCATTGCAATCATGTATTATAGTAGCACAGCGTTATCTACCTGGCAAAGAAAGGAAAAGTCCATACTATTTGGAAATGGTTTTGCGTTTACCGCCGCGTTCGATAACCAAGTTCTCCATAGAAATGGACTATTCATTTCTTAAATGGCAAGAATATCCACCAGATGCTAATCATGGATTTTACATGGGCTCAGCCATAATTACTGCGTTACTTCCGGTTGCAAGGAATTACACTGCCCTGCCACTTGATGGAAGTACCATAACGTCAAGGTTGAAGTTTGATATTTTAATTAACATGGTATGCATACAAATATTCATTATATTTTGTTAACAATGTGATTGAATTTTCAGTTTTAACGCTTCGAGCGACGGATATTTGGTACAGCTAAGAACAGAATCTTTACTCATCAGTCTTCCCACACCCGATTTCAGTATGCCATACAACGTAATTTGTTTAGCGTGTACAGCAGTCGCCCTAGCGTTTGGCCCCCTTCATAATATTTCAACGAAAAGGCTAGTTTTAAAACGAATTGAAAAGGATTCAAAAAAGAAATTCTTTTCTTTCTTGATGGAAAAGATTGTTAAATCAAAGAAACCAAAACAAGAATAAAAATATATAATTTATTAGATTCGTTCCAATTTATGCATATATATTCCTAAGCGAAGGGGAAACATCATCTCGGTATCGTTAGAAAAAAAAATCCCGAATATGAATAATTTTTTTATAACCCGAAAAATGGTGTTCCCCCTCAAATGAAATCAGCATATAACGTTGATACAATGAGATGCGGGAACTACCTCTCGATTGTACAATTACGAACGGTTCTCCATTTAATTTTATTATTCTTTTCTCTTTCATGTTTTGTATCTATAATATTACATAAAGTATAAAAAATTGTTCGCTATTTTTTTTTATTTTATGACAAATACAATTTGAGTGATTTGTTATTTTACAAACGTTAGTAACGAATTTTTTCGTGAAAAACTTTACAATGCACTGCAAATGATAAAAGTACGTATATTTATAATCTTTTAATATTTAATAATCGTGTAAAATAGAAACAATAAATATCGTAACAAATGTAACGCGTGTACGATGAATATTACGCACCAAGTTTATCGAGACTTTATGGTGCTGGTCTAATGATCGGGGATAGATTTGTATGCGTACTCAACATTGTACTACGGTACTCGCTTGTACAATTCTCACTACCGTTGCTCAAAATATTATCCGCTATCCATTCCGTCGTTTGTTGCATTCGAAACGTCGTCGTGGAAAGCTTCTGTAACAAAGATTTCGTTACGTCTTCGTCGATACAACTCAGTGGATCCCTATTCTCATCTGAAGGTGCAGGAGTAACTGGGCCCTCATCTTCATCCGAGGAACAAAGATCGATCACTGTAACCCTGTTCATCGATTTAGGGCACAAAGTTGTTTCTTTTATCGGTATCGCGACAGTGGTATCGTTTTCGTCACACGACTTTGTAACTTCGAAAACAATTGGGTTTCGAACACTTGCCTCATTACTAATAGTCTCTTCGCTTTTCTCCATTACGTTCGAATCGCTTTCGTCACTCGGAGCTTTACGTTTAGAAGGAACGTTCGGTTTTATTCTCTTTTGATCTTCCGTCATCGATTCCTTATCATCAACTGTGACTCTTCGAACAAGACGTCGGCATTTCGGAGGATGTTGCTTGAGATCGTTAATTTGCCCTTGAGTCAGGTGCGTTAATAGCACGTAAACAGGACGGCATGCAACATATAATAATTGCGACTGTATGCTCAACACTAAAAGAAAGAAACAACTTTTGTAAGGGTGCTACCAATTTACACGTTTCTGTCTCACCATTTGTCTTCGGAACGTTACCACGATAGCAAAACGTTTAAGGATAGAGTACTCACTCGGTTTTCTCTTAACAGAGTTTACAAATTTGTATTGGTGCACATAGTCGTCCACTAGTTTTTCTCGACTCGGTTTATACGTAACGATCCATCTATCGTGACCGAATTCAGTCTCCAACCATTTGGGTTTACATGAACTTTGCAAAACGGGAGCCATAAGATGTCTCTCTATCCTCTCTAGCCTTTCTAACTGAGTTTCTTCGGTCATCACCTTTGACTTTTTAGCTAATAATACACCAGCAGGTGAAGAAAACGGAATAGTTGGACATCTTGTAAAATTAATAGAACCACGAACACGGCGGGATGTACGTTCCTCGTTGATATTATTATTAATTGTAAAGGCCTTAGGTGGCTCGGCCAATTTTAATTCTGCTTTCGATGAACACAATCGAAAATAGTCTAAGAATTGATATTGGCTTAATTCAGGCTCTGGAACTAACACATCCGGAGTTATAGATCGTGAATTGCCTCCGCTGTGTGGCTGTTCGCGACACGTACGTTCGTGTTCCTATATAAATTTTATAATATTATTAGCTTCGTTAAATCTTTTCGCTGTAATGTATTTAGTACCTTCATCTTCTCTAGGCCTACAAATTCAGCATCGCAATTGTCGCATAAGTAAATGTCTTCCACCGGTGGTTCAACCATTGCAATGGGATGCTGTTGTAGTTTCAACTTACTCGAATTACAAAAAGCGACTCCACTGCATGAAAGTAACTTTTTTCGTGGACTCTCGTTTCTTTTGTCATAATTCTACAAACGAAGTAAAATAAAATTCATTTTAGATTTATAACGAAAATTACATAAAACAAAGCACAAGTTAATTATAACGGCTAACCATATTTTCATTACGAAACGTTACTAATAGTTTTCCAGTAGTTTTGTGATACAGACTGGTTGTAGAGTCCCAATTATTAACATATTCTAAGTCTTCGTGCGGGTATCGTGCAAGGTAAGAGCAAAAACGTAACAAATACTCGCTTCTGTGGTACGTGTAGCATCTAAATACCAATTTCTTCAAATTCGCCATCCAGTTCTAAAATACAACAAACGCGTTAGACTTTGATCGTGTTACTGTCGACGATGGAGCATTTGCATAACTGTATTACAATGTAAACTATCAACGTACTTCGGTGACTCTGTTAGGTCTTGTTAGGGGATTTGAAAATTTTACTTCTTTTGGCCACCACCGTGGTTCAGTGATAACATCGCCGGTGTCGTGTCCTAGAGAACACTGAACCATGAAAGATACAAAGCGTTCCAGCTGTACCTGAAGTTAAACAATATTATGATATTTACATTATATTTAATCTTTCTTTTCTTTAAAGGATTATAAGAAATGTTATCCATACTAATGTAATTTTTTCTAACGATGTTGGATATCCATTGGCAAATAGAAGAGGAAGATTGGACACCACAGAACCTTCTTCCACCGAATCTTCATGTTTTAATGCTATGTTATCTGTCGTAGCCATCACAGTCCGATGTGTATCGCTGAGTACCTGATCCTGAGGTAAATCTACCCCGTATTCTTGTTCTTGCAATGTTGAGAATCTCATATTTTTAAGGTCACCAACATTATTTGCATTTCATATTAGATTTGAATTATATGGTTTCTTGCGATATTATTCGTTCGTTCTGTGTTTACTCTACATAAAAAACAATTGTAAGATATTAATAGTTGGTAGTAAAGGAACAACACATTTCTTGCATAATATCCTCTATACACAAAATGACGAAAGAAGAAAATCAAGAATGAAAGAAACCTTGTATTGAATTATACTTCTATTTATTTGGCAAGCACAGTATCACAAATTAACATTCATTTTCACTGTTATTTGATAATACACAAGGTATAATGGATAGAACTATAAGTATTTTTATATTGTATCATTTTATGTGTATGCGATTACGCGGTAGAACGTAATAGAAAATCCAGGCATGAAATAACTTAACATAACAAAAAAATAAAATATGAAAAATAAAAAACCGTTATATGGATTAACCGATCGTTTACGTTGCGTTGAACCAATACACAGGGTGAACTTTTGTATGTAAAATATGTATTTGTGTACGAAAGAACACGATCAATTTTACGAGAATACAAAAACGCGGTAAACAATGATATACCTGTTCAGTAGCTTTCGAGACGATCGAACGACCTTTCTTGCTCTCTATTTTCAGATTGACGCTTCACTCGTTCGAAAACTTTCTTTTTCATTAATTTATACAAAACATGGATCATAACTCCCATCAAAGCCAATTTGTCGAGATATTTTAGTATCGAAACATAATTGCACTAAATGACTCGTATTGCTTTCGTGATACTTGTTAAGAACTGAAAAGGATTTAATGTACAGAAATGTTGGTACGTGCAACCTACGTGCATATTGTAAAAGTCAATTCATCACAAATCAGATAGATACGATGTAAATGTCAGAACAACAAACTTTTTATTTAAAATCTAGCCCGTGTTTTCGTTAGGTTGAAGTTTAAAAGTGGAAAGATACGCGTAATACAAATTGAACGTATGTATGTGTACGTGTACTGACAGTTCTTTCCCTTGAACAGAATGTCTAGCAACGATCGAGCACGGTTATATTTCAAGATGGCGGGACGAATCGGTTTAACTGCCGCTGGCTTGCAACCGTTTGCAACTATTGAGTACCTGCGACGCACAACATCCACCATTATAATTTTTGGCCACCATTCTGTTAGTTTAAGGCATCGTGTGTCGATCTCAGCGCTTTGGCGCGCAACATTTTTCCTAATTTACACAACAAAAAAAAGCACTCTTGCAGCAACTATTAAGTACGAAAGGTTTCAAAGCGATAGAAATTCCCCGTTCTTTGACCGTTCTTCTTTACCAGTTCCGGCCAATTCCAAGTACTCGCTGTCGCGACTGCGCATTGTTGGTGGCAAATATTTTCTTCTATCTTTACCACCAAGTTCCTTTTTCATCGAACAAGTTAAAAACAATTGGAATAAATAAATTTAAAAATCAATTACCTTATGTAGTCATCGAAAAACGAATCTAACAATGAACAACGTTTATTCAAAAGCTCGATATTGTGATCAATGATTTAGAGTAGATTAAACCACTAACAGCATCGTTATAATAACCAATATTCAACATTTACTCGCGTGAAAACGACAAATTTACGAATTTTCAAATAAAAAATATTTAACGAAGGCAATTTACTTTTTGTTCGATACAAAATTTTCGTCCAAATAATAAATAAATTATACGTTTGAAGTATCATTTACATGTTTCTCTAAAATTTCGAGTGTGATTTTATTAATAATCTATATATTAAAATATGATTGAAATAACATAAATTAGATAAACACAAATAAAGGGCCTCAAATTAGATAGACATAAATACATATAGGGCCTGAAGGTAAAAGGGCGCGAAATTGTTCTTAGCTCTGATTGGCTAACTCATAAAATATATTAAACTCTCGATTAACGTAAATCAATCGAACCTCGCGATAAATAAAATACAAAATTTATTAAGATTAAGTTCAAATGTATTTTAAATTCATTTGTTAAATGGTTTCGAGTTAAAAATAATTTAATTTAATGCACGGATATTAGCGCTAAAATAAGTAAGATTGAAGCCCTCTGGTGAGTTTTCTTTTAACTAACAAGAAACGTATACTTTTCGCGCCAATATTAATAGCGAATGATGGCAACTGTATTAACAACGTAAAATAATACCAGTCATAAAAGAAGACTCACTTTCTTCTGATTTGTAACCTTCCCTCCTAAATCAGTGCTTTCCAACGGATACTGCAACAATATAACATTTGTAGGAAATAATAAACTGGCTCTCTTCACTGACTTGTGTCATTTATTCTGTTATTTTACCATACCTCCATCGAAAATGTAATATTTGGAAAACAAGATTGTCATGTTGATCAGTGTGGCCAGATTTGGCATAATTGAGTGTATCGAGGAGTGGTGGGTAAAGCCGACATATCCTATCAATTACGCCAAATCTGGCCACACTGATGTTCACTCTTTTGCAGTTTTACATTCCTCTAATGCGTTTAACTTGAACTTTTATACTTGTAATACAAATTTTATTTTGTGTTACATAAAACATCTGTTCCGTTTTAATAATTACTTTAACATTCCTTCTACTTTTAAATATTCTAAAACAGTCGAATAAGAATCCATCCATATGATACCCATTTTTGCTCGATCAAGGTACTTTACTGATATGCCATTTTCCCAAGACCTAGCTTAGACCCTGGGGACGTAACAGACATGTGCTTTCGTGCTTTACACTGTTAAAAATTACGTTTGGAGTTAAAAAAATAAACGTAGTCTGATCTGACACCTCATCAACGTGACATTTTCATTATTTAAAGAAAATACGTAACAATGGGATTATACAATTTCAAGAAAATAGCGGTTGTCCCCACCGCGAAGGTTAGTCGATATGCTTTCAATTTTTTGTTTATGATAAATGTATATGTATTTGTAAATTTACACGCCTACGTTCTATTTTTTAGGAATTTATCGATATAATCTTGTCAAAGACCCAACGTAAAACTCCAACTGTTATTCACAAGAATTACAAAATCACGAGGATACGTGCTTTCTACTTGCGTAAAGTGAAATACACACAGCAAAATTTCCATGATAGATTATCACGAATAATACAAGAGTTTCCCAAGTTGAATGACATTCATCCATTTTATGCCGATCTAATGAACGTTTTGTACGATAAAGATCATTACAAATTAGCTCTTGGTCAGATAAATATAGCACGACATTTAATAGACAAGTGAGTATGCGAAAGTATTATTTTATGCTGTTGTATTTTAACAAACCATTCTTGTGTCTTGTCATAATAGCGTAGCAAAAGATTATGTACGATTGATGAAATATGGAGACTCCTTGTATCGGTGCAAGCAACTGAAAAAGGCTGCTCTGGGTCGTATGGCCACAATTATGAAAAGGCAGGTTGCAAATCTTGCATATTTGGAGCAGGTTCGCCAACATTTGGCTCGTTTGCCTAGCATAGATCCTTACACACGTACCATTATAATATGCGGTTTTCCGAACGTTGGTAAAAGCAGCTTCATGAATAAGGTGAGCAGGGACATCATCTTTTATTGATTATGTGTATGAAGTTTTGGAAGGAGCGTGTATAACACCTTTCTTCTGTTATAGATTACTCGTGCGGATGTTGAAGTTCAACCATATGCGTTTACAACAAAGTCATTGTATGTTGGTCACATGGATTATAAATATTTAAGATGGCAAGTAGTCGACACACCCGGAATTTTAGATCATCCTCTGGAAGAGAGAAATGTCATAGAAATGCAGGCGATAACAGCGCTCGCGCATTTACGAGCGGCTGTACTTTATTTTTGCGACGTGTCCGAGCAATGTGGCCATAATCTGGAAGAACAAGTATATATCAGTTGTTTATATAAATTCATCGTTTACTGTAATGCCCGTTAATTTTAGCATAATACAAATTGAGAGGGATACTTTCAGGTAAAATTATTTGAGTCCATCAAACCTCTGTTTATCAATAAACCTTTAACGGTTGTGGCAAACAAGGTAGACGTGTTACGCGTAGAGGAACTTTCTCCCGAAAAACAAAAAATTTTAAAGTCATTGGAGGAGAAAGATATCCCTGTATTAGAAATGAGTACGATCACAGATTTCGGAGTAATGGACGTTAAAATACAGGCGTGCGAACGTCTGTTGAGTTTCCGTGTTGATCAGAAGTTACGAACGAAGAAGGTATGTCGACCAAGTGATTTTTCTATATTCTTTTAGAATATTAACATTTAAACGGTATATTCGTGTTTGTATGTTTATAATTACAGGTAGAAGGACTGCTTAATCGTTTACACGTTGCACAACCAGTGCCGAGGGACGAGAAAATTCGTACACCGTGTATACCGGAAAGTGTTTTGAAGAAGAGACTCGCTGCGGAAGAACAGGCAAAGAGAAAACGGAAACTGGAGCGTGAAATAGAGGAAGAAATGGGAGACGATTACGTGCTTGATTTGAAGAAGAATTATGACATTGAGGGGGATCAAAAATATGACATCATTCCAGAAATTTGGGAGGGACATAATATCGCTGATTATATCGATGTAGATATATTTGAGGTTCGTATTTTTACATAATTTTTTAACTTCGATCGTGCAACATTGCGTTCAAATTCAGTTCCGATCGCTCACCGTTTTCTTCGATTATTTTTAAAGAAATTGAATCAACTCGAGAGAGAAGAAATGCTTCGAGAGGAGGCTGGCATGTACGATTACAAAGTACCCGAATTATCCGACACGATGCGGGAGATCGTGCAATTAGCGAAACAGATTCGGGAAAAGAAAGCAATCATGAAGGACGAAGCACGGGTTCAAAAGGCTTCTACGAAACCTGTGATGCCCCGTACAGCTACGGCTAAGGTGCGGGATAGGTCAGTGTCGAAACTGAAGAAACAAATGGAAGATCTTGGTATCGATATGGAAGAAACCGTAAACGTGAGTAGCAAATACAAATATTCGTAGGAAAGCAACGTGGATAATTCGTATTTGAAATTTCCACGTGTATTGTGTTTTTTTTTTTTTTTTTTTTTGCGACAGGCACACTTCACCAAAACGAAAGGACGTTCGAGATCGTTGTCGCAGCCTGCTAGGAAACGTATGCGTATGGAATCCGTGTCTCAATCGAGAGCTCGAAGTAGTTCAAGACCAGCTCGCGACGATATGGGTATTAAAGATGGCGTAATGAAAACCAAATTGAAGAACATAGCGCACAAGGCTTTGAAGAAGAAGATCGCGAGGAAGGGCATGAAAGGAGAAGCGGATCGGTTCATCGGTACAAAAATGCCGAAACACTTGTTCTCGGGAAAGAGGGGCGTCGGCAAAACGGACAGAAGATAATGGATATTTATACGTTGTCACTTTGTCGAAGATTTACATCGAGTTCTCATCAAGATTCGTTTCTCGCCTGTCACGCGAATAAATTGAAGTTTCCTATAAATCGTTTTACCTCACAGTTAAAAAACACGATTAGGTCATAGTTGAAGTCATGTATGATATCGCGACAGTATGAATGAATTGTCTCCGATTGCATAATAAACTCGGTCGTCGGGGGGGGACCTTCGCCCTCGAACGGGGTAAGCAACATCACACGTTCAGCGAAAGTTTATTGCTGTCGTACGGAGATAACCCCTTCGCTATAGTATTCCAAGAGTGTGCCCTGTTCGTGGATTTATATTCCTTACCATGTAGTAACCGATATCGATGCTCGTTGTGTTGCGTTGTGCAATGTCCATTCGTCTCGTATCGTCGAAACGAATCCGAACGAAGGAATAAATTAAGAGGTTCTTTATTTAAAATCATGTGGTCGAGATATAGTTACGGTTCTGTTATATATAAATAACGAATAAATTTTTATTTTGTCGTTACATCATTGATGGTTGATTAGAAAGTACAAGTAACGTGAGATGTTACGATGCCCATTGTGCGTAGTCAAAATTAGCTTCGCGAATTTCGATTACGAATTATCGTATGCTTACATGCCACGCAACGTAGAAGGAAGAAGTGTGTTCCTAAGTTTCTTTTCTTATCGAGTTCAACGGTTGCGATAAATGTATGGTGTGTAGGTAAGGAGCGTTCGAGAACTTCTCGACGCGAACAAACTCAAAACGGTTTATAATTTCGATCGAGTCCTCGATGCAATGTCGATCGCGTGAATCGCGAATGACAAATTTAAATCGTTCGATACAAGTGTTTTTTCATCGACACAGCGAAAAGATAAAATAAAATAAAATAAAAGAAATACGATCTCGGAAATTCGCTCTATAATTCTATTAGGAACTAACGTAACTTCGGGGCAGAAGAAAACTACGAAGCGGCGGTTTCGCGTCTAGACAGGATCGAATTTATCTTCTGCGTTCGGCACTCGACGCGCGATACGCGCATGGATCTCATATTCTAACCAAAAATGATCGAAATAAATTAAAACGATACAGCGGCGCGATGTTTGTAATGTCGTTTCGTTTGCGTGCGATTTGATCTTCCCGGTTAAGGGAACCGAGCACGATCGGGTTGGTAACATTAGCGTCGCTGCGCTGCGTGTGCGCGTGCGAGTGGACATTATCAATTTTTTTTTTAACAAGAATCTTGTCGCGGCTTTTGTCGGTAGGTTCATAAGTTCCGCGTTGTTGGCGGAACGATCCCATCCGCGATGATTCGCTTAACCAGGTCGCGTATGTACAAGGGTAATTAAAAAAAACATTTAACGATACGAAATACGATTATTTACGAGCAATAACGTCAAGCAGATATCTTAGTATCACAGTCAATGCAAGACCCACAAATAGGGGTCCTGGGTCTTCGGTGATGCCCTCGGATCAAGTTGATCGTCGATCATCGGTACGAGAAATACGGTTCTCCGTCGTTAGCTTCGACAACGCGTTTTTCGTCCATCGAACGATCATTTTTAGCGAAACGAAACGTTCGAAAGAGTACCCCGTATCTAAACGAAACGTAAAAGGAAAGGAAGTTTACGAGACGTATGAGAGGGACGCGCACGATCGCTGTACTGCGAGTAAACGACGGAGAGGTGGCACCACCGAACGCTATTCGGACGATTCTTTGGTGAGTCCTCGGTGACGATAGTCCGTCCGTTCCTTTTTTTTCGTTTCTCTATTCCGTCTCACGTGTAGCTTGCTATTGCGACCTTTTGTGTATTCGCACACGTACAATGTACGCACCACACGTTCGTACGTTAAATCACTCCGTCCGAAAAGGAAGACGGAAGTCGTTCAGGAACAAGCGCACTCGAGTACTTGGATATTCTTCCAATAAGAAACTTTCAGCTGCGTGGAATTGTTCTCGTCGTAGTAAACGATCATCAACTGATCGAGTTTACTCGGCGCGCAGCAAGGCTTCGGTACCTTTTTCTTGTCTTCTTTCCATAACAGACTTTGCAGGAGGGCGTGATGATGGGCCGGATTGTACCTGGGCGGGCAACGACCCTTGCAGTATCCGGCATCGAATGTTCTCGGGTAAACGATGAACTCGAATCCCTTGAGCTCTTTGAACATCACGGTGAGCTCGTGCCTGCAACACTTTTTACTCTCCCCTTTGCATTTAGTTCTGCGTCCTTTGTGCAGAGACATCAGTTCCTCGGGAGTGGATCGCTTCGTTCTTCCACCGGGCTCGTAGGAAGTACGTTCGGTGAAGACGTTTAGTACCGGCGTGGTGAAGTCCCGTACCACCGGCACGCCGTCGTGAAGAAATTCTAGCTCGAGGCCGAGATTGTCGAGTCCGGCCTCGAGCCACGAGGAAACGGCCACGGTCGAATCGAATTCAAGCCATCTCGAGTCCCACGAATGCCGTGGTTCGATTCTCTTCCGAACGATCAAGTTCGTCGAACGGAGAGTCCTCAGATAGAGCAAAACCTCCACGTCGGTTCGCTCGTTGTAATGACCGTGCAGCAGCAGCAGTCGCAGCGTGGCGTGGTCTACCGATACGTTGTCATCCGTCTCAGGAATTTCCACGGGGAAGAATAAACGATGACGATACTGACCTCCTCCTTCGTCCGTCTCGTAGATTCGACTCGATCCATTTCCAGGATGCTCTGCAACAAACGGTAACGGTGTAAGTGAATACGATATTACGTAAACGAAAACTTGGCCAACGACCTTGAATGGTCTTCGACCGATCTCTCTTTTGATTCTTACTACTCAACCACCATCATCATACCAGTCGCTCGCGAAAGTCATCGTACTTAATGAAAGGGCTGTTCTCATTTCTTACATCGTTTGCAAGTTACAGTAGTTCGTAAATTGTAACCTCGATGCGACATCGAATCAGAGAGACGCAACGAACAAGGGAAATACGTATTTATTTAAATGCAAACATCAGATGCTACAACAGTATTTTTTATAAGTACATATTTTCTATATATTAAATATATATTATATAGTTTGTTATATATGGTCTTAGAATTATATGTACCGATTGATGGACAGATCACTCTGCTGTCTCCATCTATAAATTCTACCTTAAGACAGACTATCAAAATGGCGTCTTTAAGGAGGCTAATGGTACATCGTTCATTTATCACGGTAAATATATTTTCTCTTTTCGATTATTATATACTGATATAATTCTAACGAGTGTAAAATATAAATCTACAACGTCGACAGCCGGCCAACGTCACGTATCCGGTAAGAGCGATGAGAACGGCCACTCTCGTCCGTTCTATTTACATACATCGACCAATTAGTGGAATTATCAAACTACGGGGTAATTCGTTAATAAACGTAGGCTCGCGTCACGAGACATTTTTCCGCAACTATAACGAACCCGTGTCTATACGGACGACCGCAGAGTTCGTACATTCTTACAAAATGACGAGAAAAAATCGGTTTATTTACAAAGAAATGCATCACAAGAGCTAGCGCAGGTTAATTCGTAGCGAAGAACCTGTAAATCTCGACACAGTTCCGGGAACGAGTATCGAGCCGACAAAGACCTTTCGATTTCACCTGTGCGAACGGTTTCGTGTTTGTCATCGAAGCGAAACTCGTCCAGAGTCGCGTCGAGTCCGCTTTCCGGCCATCGAGCGGAAACTTCTCTCGCGATAACTCGACGCGACTCGATTTGTACTCTCTGTTCGTCTTGCCTCTCCGTGCTCGGTCTCGCGATTCGTTGCAACCGCGTTATTATGAAATAGAAATTCCGACCGCGATCGGAATGCCGAACGACGAGTTCTCGAATGCAATAAGAACGAATACCCCGAGGAAGCACCGCGAAGCAGTTCGACTTCCTTTTGTACGTAGACCGGCGGTGCGTCCCCGCTCGCTCGACTCGCCTCGACCAGCATCGCGCTGTTTCTTCCTCGAGATTCTCGACCGGATCCGCGAGTCGATTACGCGAAAATCGACCCCGAGGATATCGCGGAATACCTTTCGATAAAATAATGACCCCGCGCGCGCGCGCGCGCGCGAGCATATTTTCGGCGCCGATTTCGCGCAAGGTAATCTATAATTGGTACGCGGTGGCCGCGAATAAACGAGCTATTCGGATATCGCGCGCGATTCGACGTTCGAATTCCCGTTCGATGACGGGCTACCGGGACAGATGGCCGGAGGCAGCGAACTTTTACGCCGAATTATCGAAATGCCACGAATTCTCCACGGATTTCACACCGGGTTATTTTGCGATCGCTGGTCGATCGCCAAACACGATCGTTTCTCCGATACGCGGATAACGCCACCGCCGCGGATTCCGCGATCCGCGATCCTATTCTCGGGACGCGTAACGGAGAAACAAACGAATCATTCGGGAGCAGGGGTGCGCAACCTAACGGTTACAAGTTTTTTTTTTTCGAATCTTGGAAAAGCAAATTTCGCTTCGTTTTTCCTTGGTTTGAAAATAAGATTGAAAAATTAAAAGGCTACGATCGATGATAGAAAGTACTATAGCTAATAGAGATTCTTGTTTTATTCGTATCAAGTTAAATCGTTGGGCGGTATGCATTTCTGATTTAGTGGATAAAATCTGATTTAGGTGTTCCGAGATTTACGGCCTGACGCGTGTTCGGTAAGCGTTAACACACATTCCATCTTACTCCCGAGCCTCCACGTACCGATTCTGTTGCTCGAGTAAACGATCAATTATTCAGCGTCCGAACTAATACAATGGCAAGCAAACGGAAAGTGAAAGAGATTTTGCACATCGTTCGTGTAACGTACTTATAAACAAATACGTGGTCTACGCTCTTCGAGGGGTTAACGTAAATTTGTAAACCGGGGGTAAAAAAGTAAAAAGTGAACGAAGCGCGTTCTGGGACGTTTCGTCACCGACTGATTGCTCGAGAGACGCGACACCCGAGAAAAGGGGTCGCGACTTCCCCTCCCCTCCCTCGCCTGTCGGCGGGGTGAATCGTTCCTTATCGTCCGAACAAACGATTCGGCGTGTAGAACGAGCGTAAAAGTGTTTTCACGCGACCCGAGCGAGGATTTGGAAAACTATTTTCTACAGGTCCGGTTAACGGCGTCTAGAGTCGACGGGGACGAGATAACGTTCGAAGGCGGACCGTTAGGATATCGCGCGACGAACAAGAATTCAGATAACTTTCTCGACAAGTCCCGTCGTATTTTTACATTTCCGAAGAGATTTATTCCGTACGACGGAATGCCGCAACGCGAGGTGTCTCGTTACACCAGTGATTCTTAACTTGCATCGCGTCCAAGTACGAAAATTACGCGTTACGTAATTATTCTATCCGAGCATCAAATGTTTCCGAAACTATAACAAATTTAATATTTTCAGCGACGCGTGAAAGACAGGAAGCAAGCATCTTCTCCCCATCGTGTATCCGAAAATTCTATACATGGTGTGGCAACTTCGTTTCTTCTCACGAGTCCACGAAGACCAAGAATATTCTTCCAGACTGTGTCGCGAGGATGAAAAGGTTAAGAACCACTGTGTTACATGATGTTTTACGACCGGTACCAAGCGTGTCGACGATACGCAACGCGACGCTAATCCATGGGTGTCGTCTTACGGAGCGTTTAGGATTTGGTCGTCTGGCGGGTTCACTAAAACTAGCCCGTCGTTCTGGACAGGAAAACGAATAATAAAAAAGCACGAGAAATTGCGTGTGTCTTGGTCTCGTTTGCTATTCGATTAAAACTGTGCCCATTTCTGTTGAAAGGACGCGGTTCCTCGAACTCAGCGTGTATCAAATAAGCGTCTCGAGTGTGCTCCGCAATTACGAGTGTGTACATTTAGTCTTGAGAAGATTTAATCGTAACGCAACCAAACTAGCGCCACAATGCAATCTCCAGTTGACCCCCTTCGTTCAGACAAGACCCTTTTAACACGTTCGTTGTCTACGCAGCTCTTTGAGGCTATTCCATCTTACCAGCTCTCGTTTTCAGGTTTCCTTTTACCAAACATAGGAAGAATTAGGATTTCTTCTTTCTTCGTTTGGACCAGACGTTGCATCGACTATTTTTAGGGGTAAGGATTATACGTTCCAGTCAACGAGTCGAGAGTTTCTTCGATTATTTGCGTAATTTCGTAATTTCGTGTTTTCTAACAGTAACTTAATCTCGTAGCTTCCTTCGTGGGACTCGAAGTAGGAGAGCACGGGAAATTGTTCTGTCGGTTCGCGAATAGGCAGAGCGCGGTGCCCGGTAATTGGAGGCGCAGGACGAGAATTACGAAAGAAAGAAGAAATTCGTTCGGGCGAGGGCAAAGCCGTTAGGAGCTCGGTCAAGGGTGCTCGAAGCCACTTCTGCCCTTTTCCACGCAGTCGACCGTCACGTACCCGCCTCGACCCTTCCTTCCAATACTCTTCTTCTACGCGTGTACGAAACGTGTCGAGCCGTGCTCCATCGCTCGAGGATTTGGACTCTGAAAGTGCCACTCGTCTAACTAGTTTCACGCTTTCCAGCCTCTCTCTTGGCTCTCTTTCAGACGGGATCGTACGCGCGCGCTCGCGACTACGAGCCGACTCGCAGGGAAGAATTTAAGGGCTCTTTCGGACGACATCGCGCCAACGTACCGCGCCTCTCCTTTTTCTCTCTTTTCTCGCTTTGGTTTCTTTAATCACTCGCTCGGACACTTTTCAACGCCTCGCCTACGTTGCGTTCGAAGATCCGACCAAGAAACTCGGTGTTTGTTCCGAGATGCACACAAATACTCACGGTTGGACGTCGGTACGGTCCCAGCCAGGAGTATGCGAGAGCTAAACGAAACAAAGTGCCAGACAGAAAGAGTTACAGCGAGTAACCGCAGTATTCCGACACTTGGCGATTCTCACTTTATAATTTTGCGTAAAAGGGATCGATTGTCAAGTGATTAAAGCGCAGATTAACGCGCGATCCCGTCTGAAAGAGGGCTAATTTCGCGTCGTCGTGAAGTAGAAAAAATGGCCGACGATCGGCCGAATTTAGCGAGACGCTTACTCGATACACGTGCCACGGTCGTCGATTTTCTTTGAATGGGTCGGCCATCCGTGGTGGACTGGCGGAAACTCGACGGTTAGATGTTTACGCGGGTCGTAATTATAGCGAACGAGCGTATGTATATTTTTTCAGAACGTCGGCCACGGTATCGCGCGTTTCCGAGGATCGTTCGTTCTCTCTCGAAAATGGTGTACGTAACAGCGCAACGATGGAAAGATGACGGTGGTGGTATTAGATACGCTCGAAAATGCAGTTTCTATTACCTGTGGCGTGGAACACGTGCAGCTTCTTCGTGCTTCTGGAACTCCGTTCGTCGGACGACAGCTGCACTTTCTTCAGGTACTCTCTGTGCGCTCTCTCGTACTCGGCTTGGCTCACGTTAGCCTGAAAACAGAAACATTGACGATAATTTGGTTCTTAATTCTTGTTATCTTTACTTTGAATCTTGGATGTTAATTCCGCAATTACCAGATCTGCACGTAACCTCGTTAGTACTATAGACTGGCGAACTATACGCCCCCGGTACGAGTAACAGTAAATTTAAAAACTTCTGGAAACTTTGTAAAACTCGTCGGCAACATTGCCAATTAGTCGACCACTAGGACTGTACAGTTGTGGTAAATTGTATTTATAGCCTACGTTCTTACCACGGCGTACGTCAACCTTACAGCGAGATTAAATTATCTATAACGACAAAATTTTTAATTTTATTAATTCTTCGAACGAGCAAAAGATATCAACGATAGCTCCGACGAAGATTTTGTCTTATCTCCCAGCGTTTTCTAATTAAGAATAATGTGTTAAAATATGTAAGATTGTATTTGCCACTTTACGATTATCAGTCTTCTAACGTTATTTATCTATTTTTAGAATGTATAAAAGTCAACACATTCGATGAGGGTGACGCTAACATAAGTACACATCGTGGGGATTTCCAACCCCTACCGCGGATGACGCAATGGTTCGTCACAAATTTCCCAGGTATCTAGTATCTTTATCCTTCATTAAACCTTCACGTCCATTTTGACCCATAGAAACAGTTCATTTTAAAATCCACAATACGGAACAATAATGCTCGTGTCGAAATGGACCCACACACCGCGATCCCAAGGATCAACACATAATTTTGCTAAAACATTCGGGCTCAAGAGCCCCAAGCAAAAGATGTTCCCAACCGGGACTCGACTAAAATGATTCGGTTTATCGCGGGGCGAATCGCTGGCGTGAACTTTCGGTTCGCTTAATTGAATGTTGGTCGCGTATCGCGTTCGACCTTGCGAACGCGATAATTGCCCCGCGGGCGTGACATCGAAATTATCTAATTTTCTGGGGTCGCGACGCAGCCGGGCGATTTCCAGTTCGCCGCCGCTTCCACTCGACGCAAACTACCCTCTTCGCGCCTTTTTTCCCACTCCGTTCTCCATTTTGTTACGGCCGTGCTTCGCCCACGAGCCTCGTTCTTCCGGCGTCGTCTTGCGCTACCTTTTCCCATTGTGCCCTACGCGCTTTATTTCGCCGGATCAACGCCGGAGCCCTTTTCCTTCTCGAGCATCCTCGGCGATTTTCGAGTCGCCGGCACTCGACGCCGCTGTACTCTCGAGCGTCGCGAGTGCCTCGCGAGCTCCCGACGAGTGAGAAAGTCCAGACGCGCCTAGACGCTTTCGTAAAATTAACTCGTCTACGTCTCGGCCCGCTTTGCTCCGTTTTCAACGACAACCGCGCCCGCTGCGAGCCTCGTACGTGTTTTCGAACTCGTCTTTGATTCGCCGACCACAGGTACGAAACAAATATACAGCGGCGAACGGGAGTGTTTCAACATTCGGATTTAAACGCTACTTATTTTTTTTTGTAGGGCGTCTGGACGATTGTACCTTGAATCGAGACACACAATTCTGAAGTTTTCCTATTGACAATCGCGCTCGACATGCTTGAAATTCACCGAGCAGCCGGTCTGCTATTACAGCTAAGTGCAAAAACGAGATATCTCGTGACCCGGTTTCGAGTTGGTCTTCCTATGCTCAACCCTTTCCAACGCAATTGTTTTCCTACCGGCAAGCCTCTCAGACCCAATTAAGCTCTGAACGAGATCCTGTATTATTGTTGTTTGTTATCGTTCGATTTAGGTATTTTGATGACCTACAATACGGTCACGTTAGGAAGCTATGCAAATCCATAAATGTATACAAAGATCTCTTGAATGAAAACGGGGGGAGCGCTGAAAAAGGTCAACAGATCTAATAACGGCATTAGCCGACCTACCGTAGCGATCGATACAGTTTCGCATGTCAAAGGTAGTATAGTGATGGTTTAAGTGGAATGAATCGTTATATCTGAACGATCTGGAAGGAACATTGAATGTAAATAGTTCAAGGGTGCTTGGACCGGTAATAATGTCAATTAAACTCGTATAATCGCGTTTGTAAGGATAAGGGGATGTGCTAAGTTTAGATACAACGTAATGAAATCTGTCACAGTTTCGACTCATTCATAAAAAATAATCAAAATAATGGTCGAATGGAACGGTAAATGTGCTCGAATACTGGAGAACTAGGGCAGTTTTGCTGTGTTTCGTCAAGACCATAACAAACCATTAAAAGAAATAAATGAAGAGAGAGAAAAACACCTGACACGCTTCCTGGAGAATCTTGAATTCGGACAATCTAACCCTCCTCTCATCGTCACCAGAGTCGTTAAGGAACGGGTGTCGATGACCCACCCAGACTCTAGTTTGCGTAGAGAAGTATCCTCTTGGGTCATTCTTACAGTGTCTAACACAATAACAGAAGATTCCGAGCTCCTCTCGAGCCGCAATTTAAAGAGAAAAACCCCTGACACAGTTCCTAGGGGGTCTTGAACTCGGAGTAACAAAGGATCGGTTACGGGAGATTCGTCAGACTCGCGCTAGAATCGCGTCTGCTGGCACAAGGAAGTTCCCTCTTGGGATCCATTTGCTGCTGGAGTCTGATGCGACTCTTCCAGGGTTAGGACCCGGACGGAAGAGCCACAGACGAAGCTTACAAGGGGTGGTGGAGGGAGAAGCATTTTGGCGAGGGAGTGACTCGGTGTGGAGATGCACGCGGACGCCTCCGCAGTGTCGCGATCGTAGTCATTTAACTGGTCGTGGTCTTTAAAGTCAGTTAGACGGTCCGAACGAGTTCCGGTTGGCCGGGACAGTGGCCCCGCAACGCGTCGTGTCCGCGCTAATTTCTTTTTCTCCGTTTCGAGTACGTCGGTTCGGCGCTTCCGTTGGCCGTAAGCACACTGGTCAATTTTCCAACAACGAATCCAGTCGAATCAAATCAATTAATTGCGCGAAGAATAAGATTTGTAAGATCGCAAGCTACTTAATTAGAAAGTAAAGTTGGAGTTCGAATTATCAAATATTTTTTTAAGCTGGCGTCTGGTCTGGATTTAGATATTTTATCGTTGCGCGTTCTCGCTAATATTTCTTCGCGAGGGGTCGATAACCTGTGGCTCATTTGCGAAATTATTCCTACTCATGATCCGAGTCGAATTATTTTCGTCTCTGACAGCTTAAACAAGTGCATACTTCGGTTAACAGAAGATACACAATTAAAACCTATCGTAAGACCAGGTGGAACACTATGGAGGCCACGATTAGGTGATTTACGAGAACGAGAAACTCAATTCAATAAGCACTGACCGAAATAACATTAGATCGTATTTGAAACGATCCGAACGACGAACATATTAAAGTTGCTGGTATCTTATTCGCAACGTTAGAACTTACGAGGAGTTACGATAGAAAATTGAAAAATATTAAGAAACGAGCAACAGTACACAGAAACATCAAAGGTGTTTCGTACGACTGTTGCCAGAATCCGTGGTCTGGTCAGAATCGTTCGTAAATCTGTACGTTAGAATGACGAACGAAATCGAAAACGGGTCGCGCGTAACGTTTCGTCGAGCTCGAACGGTACTCGAGGTGTTGTTTTAATCCCAGCCGTTTCCGGGTTGAGAAAGCACAGCTCCGTCGTAATCCGTGCCGCGAAAATAAATTCGCGGTGTTCGCGTTTCGCCCAGGGATTCACGATTCGCGAAATCGCCAACGGAAGTCGGCGGTTTTCGCTCGATCCTCCGTAGCAGGGAAACGATCCAGATCCACGACGATCTCGAGGACCATCGGAATCGAAGCTCGCTCGATTTTCGCGCCGACGCTCGAACCTTTCAGATGTTCAATGAAATGTTGAATTTCAGGAAGAAAAATCTACCCTTCTACTCCAAAATGTGTGATTTTTTTAAAGACTTTGTACAAACAACACTGTTTTATAAATCTCGAATTTTTTCTTCTAGATCCGTATCGACTCCTTTGTTCGACTTCCAGCGGTCGTTGACTCCACGGATTCACGAATGATACAAAGACTCCGCGTGTTTACGTTGTTTGGAGCAGAACTGTTTCGTCGAGGGTTTCATAAAAATATTTATTCACCGCCAGAAGCTTTGAACTTTTTGGCCCGAAAATCCCCACGTCGGAGGTAGGAACGAATGAGGGTAGGTCCGGAAGCGGCGAATACGAAACAGGATCGAAGATCACGGGAGTCGAAGCACGTGTTTTTTCTTCCTATACACGCGTGGGCCGGTTTTTTTAAAGCATTCACGTGGTTTGCAGATCCACGAAAAGATTATCATCAATTATTTTTGCCCATACATTCGCTGTGAAAGTTGACTTGCTCGAATTTTGGTGAAGCCCAGGTTCGTCAGCAACTAATACGGATAAAAGATGTCGGTAGAGGATCAAACACGAACGTTAACTCTCGGAGGAAAATCATCTTCGTTAAGTGGCTGCACTTTCTAAATACTGTGATAATAAAACAGTTGTGCAAACCTCTCTAGACCTCGTACGCCCGAGTTTCTTCGAGCATCGACGCCATCAATTTCTTCGACGTGATTTAGGATTCTGATACTAGCGCGTCTATCGCCGTCTGATACTCGTTTTTTAAACAAACCTGTGTCTGAGAGGCGTTCGTGTATTCTCTGAAACGTTCTCTTGTCTGGCAGAGGTCTATCAGGGAAACGAATCGCAGACAGACGTCTTGCTTCGGTTGAATTACGTACCATTAAACGCGTGTCTGCCATTTCCTAGTTTCAATTCATTTGCACGTTACTTCTTCTAACGCTCAACAAATTAATTATCAAGTTGCTCTTCTTCGGAGTATAAACTAGACTATAGCAAGGAATTATCGAGCGTTGTATACAAATAATACCACGGTAGAATCAGTTGTACTAGCTGAATCTGCATCGAGAAATTACCGGGGTACGAAAGCAACTATAACCTGGAAAGAAGGTTAAATAGAACACGTGCTTGTATCGAACTTTTCTCATTGTTTCTGTGGTCTCTGTAAGAAAAGTATCTATGATCTTTC